ACACCTCAAACATCAACATGGGTTTAACCTGAGGGATTTTCAAGTGGAGTTTTTCGTCTCTGAAGCTTATGTTGGATTTGGTAAAATGGAGAAAATGAGTGTACGACCGAATCAAAACAAATATGACCGCTAACGAGGAAAAAATCACAGAGGACTGAGAAACGCCACGAAATTCTGCAAAATCAATGCGTGAAGCAGTAAACTCTGTTCATCTGTTTTTGTTCAAAATGATGTGGGCCCAGTGAGCAGCTTCATCTCACGTGTCTCACGTGAAATAAACAATTCGGATGGTTGATTGGACGATTGGACGGTCGTGTTGGACGGCCACGGTTCTGACCCGAAGCGTGACTGTAGTGGCCAAACTTTCCCCGTTCAGGGTCCGCTATGGCTGCAGCCTGTGTGGTGTCTTCCATAAAACAGTCAAAAATACTGTGTTCCTCGATAGTTTATTGACACACCTTATAGCCACCCAAAATACACAGATCCAGCCCTCCATAGACGATCAAGTAGGGGTGGGCGATATCTCGATATTTTAAATATATCAATATATTTTTAAAACTCTATATGAATTCTGACATATCGTATATATGGATATAATGCTTATATTCTATTTTGATTTTGCCGCTTCGCTTGTTTGTCTTCTCTGTTGCTACCCTCGCACGCCCGCCTCCCTGATTTTGTTTGCTCGTGTCTCATTCACTTGTCACTATCACCGTGAATGCCGAAAGTTGGTGCCAGCGAAAAGCTTCTAATGCCACGAAACTTTTCCACTATTTACAGACAAAACCATCAGCATCACATCCTCATATTCCACCGAGTCGCGTCCTTTAGTCCAAAAGAAGTTGAACCACATGAGCGGCACGTGGAGTGCGCTGTTTATGCCAATTAGCCTTGCACTTTTTAAGTTTCATTTCTGTAAATCATAAACAAGTCTGCGCAAAGCTACAAAAAACAAAAAAAACAACAACAAAAAAACACATTATAATCTCAAACGGGCTGATGTGGCTCTAGAGTCGTTATGCTTTATATCTTGTAAAGTTTAGTCTTGTAAATTCTGTTTATGCAGAAGATTTTAATGAATAATCTGCTGCAGTGTCACTTGTACAATAGTGTTTGGAAACGTTGGGTTTGATCTGCAGTGGATTGTGGGAAAACCTCAGAGCTCCTTACTGCTGGAACATGGATCTGTTAAAATAAGGAACATCCTGAGCTTCTTCTGCTAAATGAGCTCATGGTTCAGGTTCTGGTCTGGATAACAGAGTTAATACAAAGATGAGCTTGAGTTGAGTTGTTTTATTTATGAATGAAAAGAAGGAAATATGTTTTATTTCTTTTATTTTACAGTTAAATTATTATTTATGTAATTAGGGTTTTTTGTAATCTTAAATGTTCCTATATGAACTGCCGACCTCTTACACTTTAATAAAAAAAAAAAAAAAGGACCTTGTGGAATTTGGCAGATTTGTTTTTGCAGTTTTCAGTTTTAGGGGGTTATTTTTTCCTGTACATATATCGAGATATATATCGTATATCAAGATATAGCAAAATATATCGAGATATAGTTTTTGATCCATATCGCCCAGCCCTACGATCAAGACTGTTGTTTACCTCCACACTGTGACACCTGTGTGCACCTTTTCCTCCCCTTTTAAAAAGCAGGTAATTACATAACAAACTATAAATAGTGCCTCACAGTGAGGCACACAGGGAGGTATAGACAGGCAATATGGCTCCAACACTCTGGCCCCTTTATTTGTATTTTGTAACTGGCTTCCACAATTAATTTGGAGCCACTAATTAACTTGGCTGATCTTTCCATGTTTAGATATTTATATTGGAACACATTACCAGTATCCATGAACACCAAGTCATTGTACCATACTCGAAATACCAAATTAATCAATAAAACATTTTCCACTTTTTTTCTTTTGAAGGCTTTGCAGGTTTTTAGTACAGGACAAGTTTGGCTGCTTCAGCGATGGAGGCAGTGGGGACCAGACTCACATCAAATAATCCAGAGGTAAGAGTGTGGATTTGTCTGCATTTTGTCAACAAGAATGTTCCTCATGTGTTCAGTAACGTGTTCTGTCCCACCACTGTGAGTACAAATCATCTGAGTGCAGGTGCTTCTAAATGTGATGGTATATTTGTTTAGAAATGGTTCAGAGATAATCAAAACAGTGATTCTCTCTTCCACAGGGCTGAGTATGAGCCAGTAACTCAATATATATTCCGATAGAGGCTCCATGATACGATATATAATTCAATACTCGTACCTTATGATAACTGTCCTTATCAGAGACTGTCTGCCAATATGTTAGCTGTTGCTTTCCAAACAGAAAGTGAGCGTGAGCCTGCTGCTGTCACACTCCTCATGTTGGTCATAAAATGTTCGTGTTAACCTGCTCTACCGGCCTCAGTAAGCTTCACTTGACTGGAGCTTTTACAAATCTCATTTTTATATTGGGTCTGGTCAAGTGGTAATGGAGGGAAACGGGGTCAGATTTTTGACATTTAAATAGCTCTTATTGAGAAACTAGAGGGACTATTGAAATAAGTAAGGTGTCAGAATGTAGGAAAGAGTTAACACTCCAACAGGGTAAAGTTAAACCTGTGATATTCTTTCAAGTTGTTGACAAAAAATTTAAAAACTCATGTGGGTAACGGAGGGAATGAAATATGCAGAACTTTTTGGGCAATAAATCCAAACAGTGATAACTCTTGGTTCTCACTTCCATATCCTTAACAAACTGGTTTGAATATTTGCTTCATATAGTTTTCTACCATATGGTACAAGATTAGGTTGAAAAACCTCTTACTTTTTGATTAATGAGCTTTTTTCTTCCCAATACTTTAATATTACTTCAAAATGAAAGGTAACTATTTATAAAATATGTCAGTCCTTTCAAGCAAATTTTTATCATTTTAAATACATTAAAAAAAAAAAAAATCATGTACCTTCATCAACAGTTCAAAGATGGAATAACACAAGATATGATGAAATACATCCATTTATTGACATGATTTTCAGGTCTTTGAAATTTGGGAAATAATTTTTGTTCCATGTTTCATACATGGTCTGTTTAAAACATATGGAACTTTAGAACCAAAAATGGTACAGAAAAAAGGTCAACAGTTTCATAAACTAGAGTACATATGTATCTGTTCAATACATTTTTATATCAGATGCATTAACTTGAATTTTTGGCCTTGCTGTTTACTTCTGCTTGACCGGAGCCTATTAAGAGGTTGTTGGTTTAACTTTTGCCTTTGAACTTCAAATGAACAGTCTGAAACGAACTGTATGTACTGTATAGTGTGAGTGTGCTGGTGTTGTGTACTTTTGTGTGATTGTGTACTTTTGTGTGATTGCTGCTGTACTTTCCCCTTTTCTGGAGATGATTTCACATCAACCTGAGGCCAAGGAACTGAAGATGGAAATGAGCCACGTTGGTCGTAATCTTTGCATATTTACATTTTAAACGTTCACTAACATGTGCTGGCCCTTAACAAATAAAATAAATAAACTGAACTCTGGGTGACGTCACACTCACTTAGTCCAATTCTTTTTACAGTTTGTGGTTCTGAAATGTTGATATCCCCAAAAAACAATGTCAAAAGTTTACTGTGTGTTTACTGTGTAGTGTTGTAGTAGTAGTAATGCACTGAAATATATTAATGTGTGTATTGTGTCACGATATATCGCTTTATCGATATTTGGAGTACAGCCCTACTGCCCTTACTCCTACAGCAGTCAAAGTTATTACTCACCCTCCCCTTTCAAAGCTCTGACCAAAACAGCACACTCTCTGTGTTTTTCTGAGCCTCCTTCAGCTGAACGGTAAATCTTCATTTGTAAAGAGCAGTTTGTCTCTGTTGCTCTAATCCTAAAATAACTGGAGCCGCTCTGGGATGTCTCCTTTAAAAGAGCTGATTTCCTAATGTTACTTTTGGCGTATCTCTGCTCCTCTTGAGACGAAACAATAAATCAGAGCTGCAGCCTGACTCCCCCTCGCACAGAGCTGGGTCACGGGTGAGAGGAGGCCTGAAGGATGGGTCAAATGCACATGACGGGTTTCCCTAATGCGGCAGTAAATCTTGTCTTAATTCAGGGGATTAGAAACTTGTGCTGTGTAAAAAAAAAAAAAAAAAAAAGACATAATACAAATTTAAAACTTCCCGAAAATCATGGAGTTCTACATGCATCTCACTGGCAGAATGTTCAGCCATGGTCAAAAAAGTGGTAGGTGGTAGTAAGTAGTAGGTGGTAGTAGTAGTAGTAGTAGTAGTAGGTAACGCCGCAGGAGCTGGAGGAAAGTCCCTGATCACTTTACCTGACCACACCCAGGACTCCAGGAGGACACCAGAGACCCACAGGCACAGAGAGAACATGCAAACTCCACACAGATACAAGATGAACCATTTATTACTACCACTATTACCATTATCACTACCTTTTTTACCATTACTACATTACTACCAGTATTACATAATTATTACTATTAACACTGTTACTACCATTTTAACCATTACTACATTATTATTACTACCATTATTACATAATTATTACCATTATTCCTACCATTATTACTGTTACTACCATTTTTACCATTATTAGCACTACCATATTACGACTCGCTACAATTTTTTTCCATTATCACTACCATTATCACTATTACTACCATTTTTACCATTATTAGCACTACCATATTACGACTATCGCTAAAATTTTTTCCCATTATACCATTATCACTATTACTACCATTTTACCATTATCACTGCTATTACCATTTACCATTATTATCCCAACCATTATTACTTCCATTTTACCATTACATTATTGTTACTACCATTATTACATAATTACTACCATTTTTACCATTATTACTACTGTTACTACCATTATTGCTACTACCATTTATAGTCTTAATTCGTGTTATAACCTGCCATATGGATTTTAATGTTTTCCACAGACAAAAAGACCAGTTGAAACCAGAAAGTTCAATGCAATCTTACATCTTTATTGCTTTTAGTTACACACATTCCACCATTTTCTTTAATTCCATTTCCATCAACAGTTTTTCACTTTCCAAAAATCCTTCTATATCTTCTCTTCCCCTACTTACAAATATACGTTCAAACCTATTTTCTTTTGCAAAACTAAACATTTTGCACTTTCCTTTTAGTCTTAACGTCCCAAAACTATTCTTTATCTCAATCTTTCTCGTCTTCTCTCGAAAGTCCGTCAAAAACACACTTACTTTTTCATAACTTTACCAAAACAATCCAATCCTGTACAATTGGACTAATATCTGCTTTGTAGCTAAAAAACTATGCAAGATGTTACACTGAAAAAAAGCTCCAGATAATTCTCAAATTTTTGGCTCAGATTGTAAAACATTTTCAAACTTTTTAAAACGAAACTTCAGACCTGATTGAAAACCCAAATATTCGTTTTAGGTTGCGTGATTTTTGTCGACAACGTAAAGTATATTTGCTTAAAGGAATGTATAAAAATAAGACCTAGCTTTGTGAATAAACTGCCTCCTCATTGGCTGGCGCTAGAATTTCACGTGCTTAAATGCAATTGGTTGTTTGAGCAAAGTGGGAGAGACTAACGTTTGATTGACAAGGTATCAATCAGTATATGTTCATTAGGAAAAGCTAAAACCAAAAATAGCATTTTAGCTCATGTTGTTACGCTAATATGCAAATTTGTCGTATTTAAAACGTTTAACACGTTTTTAAAGATTTTAAGATTCTACTGTTTTTTTAAACGGTAAAAATGTCCTTTAATTCCATTTTGTTAGCTTGTAAAAACTCTAGCCAACCAATCACATTTAAACTCCCAATTCTCCACGCTCCAACCATTTCATTGTAATTTCTTCCTTTTAAACGCTCAACAGTGCTGCTACAAAAAAACACTACGCTTTCTCAAATACAAAACTGCAAAATGAATCCCACAAATAAGTAAAATAAAGTTTAAATATTACGTTAGGAGTAAACAACATGATTCAAACGCCAAACTTCCCTTCGCCGTGAGTCTCTGTGGAAGCTGCTGCGTTCAAAATGGAGGGTACGTACATTATAATAGCTGCCAGGGAGTGGACAGTAACACGGAACACTGTAAATATAATACACAGACATAAATATAGTCCAGGAGTTTTCCGATTATTTACAAAATGTCCAAAAAGTTCCAACTCAAACCATCGTCTCTTTCCTTTTCCCCAAAGAGTAGATGTATTTCTTGTCCTTTTTGGATTTGAGGAGGGACGCCGTGGTGGAGTAGGAGGGCAGGGAGCGTCTGGAGGGCTGCGGGGTCAGGGGGCAGGAGCAGGGTGAGTTCGGGGCGGACTGAGAGACCTGTAGGGTGTTTTCGTCCGTCGTCTCTTCCATGTGGACTATGGCGGAGACGGAGGAAGGTCTGCGGCGGAGGGAGGACGAGTGGGAAGGCGACGGCGAGCAGGGGGAGGATTGCGAGATGGGGCGGAAGGGGGCGATGGCGGATCTGAGGCAGTTGAGCCACTGTTGTTTGTGGAAGACGTCGTTGACCTGGAGCGTGTGGGAGGAGTGGGCCTGGGTGGGGTCCTGGGAGCGCAGTCGGAAAATGTTCTTAGCTGGAGAAAAAAAAAAAAGAAAACGATTAGTGATGCTGGTAAAGTGTTAAAAATAGACACACAAATTTGACTGTTTATTCTATTGGGATAAACCTGGACTAAACTAGGACTAAACCAGGACTACACTCAAATTAAACCAGGAATTGAGAAGGTCTAAGCCAGAACTAAACCAAGACTTCATACCAAATCATGATGAATAAACAAAGAATAAACAAAGACTAAACTAGCTCTAAATCAGGATTAAATCAGGACTAATGTATGGTTGAATTTTTACCTCTGTCTCCGTTGCTGAAGGCCCCTCGGAAGGACCCCCCCATCCTGACGTCTCCGTCCTGAAGGTCCTCCAGCAGAAGGTCCTGGATGGGGATGGGCTGTCTGTACACCTGGAAGCACTGACGCTCGTTTCTGCTCACGGGCCGGGTCAGAACCAGAACCTCCGTGAACAAGAACACGTGCAACTTCTGCGGAAAAGAGACAACAGAAACGTGGGGTTACATAAGAGCAAGTTACACCCGCAAGTGACAATAAAGGTGGGCTTTTAAATACTTATAGTTTATCTGTGAAGTGATTACGTAAGATTTCAAAGTTCAAAATGCCTCAAAATCAAGTTGACATTACAATATTAAAATAATTTAGGCATGTGATCAACTGTGATTTATCATATTTTGAATGTGCACTGTGTAACTTTTCTGGTGGAGAAATGCTTTTCTCCTGTTTAATGTCATACTGTGGACCAGAAAAGTTACACGGTGCACCTTTCTGCGATTTTCAGCTAAAATAACAGATGTGAGATGGTTTTATTCGTACCGTTCCGCTCTTGCTGCGGAGCTCCCCGTGGCACAGCAGGCTCTTACACTGCTCGATCCTCGGGTCCCTCTGCCTCTCGTCCAAATACTCCAGTTTGTCGATGTAGAACTGACACTCAGACTCGCCCTTCTTCAGGTCGATATCGGCCAGAACGTCCTGGATCAGACTGATCTGTGAAGAAGAGACAAAGATACATTTATATACAGATTCAAACAGTATGGAAAATGAGGATACAAAGTGATACTGCAGTAAGAGTAGTAGTAGAAATAGTACTTACAGCTTTCTCCAGGCTGGCTGCGTCGGGGTGCTCTGACGGGGTGTGTCTCAGGATCCGTTTGAGGAGCAGGGGGTACTTCACCAGACGAGACCGGGGGATGTCCAGAAAACTCCACAGGTCCAGTTTCCGGCTGAAGGGAGACTCCAAACATCTCTGAAGGAAGTCCTGCACCCGCGGGTCCTGCTTCCTCTGGTCCAGCAGGGCCTTCGCCGCCAGCTGGTTACTGCAGTAGTCTTTGTACGCGTTCAGTCGGGGCACCTGTGCCGGAGGAGGGACTCTCGTTAGGTTTAAAGCCGCATTGTGGAACACTCACAGTTAGGATGCCTGGTTTTCTAGACCAGGAATGGATCAGGACTAAACCAAGAAATATAAATCAAAAACTACAGCCTTTTTTCAATTCCTCTTTTCATTTGGTGGTGTGTTTGGATTTGAGTGTGGTGGTTTTGCAGTTCCTTACCCAGTTGACTACGATGTGTCCGATCTGGCCCACCGTCCCGTCCTCGGCTGTGGCCTTGGACAGCTGCTGGAGGAGGTCTTCATGAAGGGGGATGAACGCGTCCAAGTTTCCGAAGATGTGAGTCAGCTCCTCCTCGGACATGATGGACAGCTTCAGCATGGGGTCGTGGTACGCCTGAGAGGAGACGGAAAGTGGTCTCATTATTGTGATTTAAAGCTGCATTACGCAACTTTTCTGGAACAGGGTCTGCCACGTGCTTGTCTCTGTATTTATTGCTTTGCTCAGAATGTTGTACAGTCTGGCATTAAACATAGCTACGCCAAGTTAGGTTAGATCTATGAAAAGATGCCCCTTTTGTCCTACTCCTGTTCTTGTACTTTGATGTTGCAACATTGTAATTCCCCTCTGAGGGACAAATAAAGGTTATCTCATCGTCCCCAAAACAAAACATGATATCTGAAAGGCTTTTAAGTGAAGTTTGGGGGTATTTTTAGCTTGCACAATCTTCTAAAAATAACCGGCAGAAGTCCAGGAGCCAAAGCAAAGATGACCGGCGGCGTGTGTTTTTATAGCTGCTGGCGCGTACGAACCCGTTCTTCTGCCAGAGTCCTGATTTAATGTTAGCTTAAAGCTCTAGTACCCGATTCGTTCCCATGTTTCTAAAATCTGTCTCGTCTCAGTACATATCTTGTATAAACAGCTCTCGAGGTCAAAATAAGTCCGCCGTGTACTGCCTGCATCTAATTATAACGTGTTTTTTTGGTCCGATAATCAGGAAGTGTGTGTTAGCATGCTAGTTGTCATCATCCACGCTCTGAAAGTCGTTCTAAGCTCATCGTGGTGAACAATTACGATGCTCTGAACGCGTAAGGTGCCAAGTATTGTTAGCTTTACCGCAAACTCCGCTCCGGTCTCTAAAATTTATGAATAACTTTGGACCTCACTTCCAAGTTCTGTTTTTCACATTTATTTTAAGACCAAAATAAGTCCGCCGTGTACCGCCTGTGTCTAATTATAACACGTTTTTTTAGTCCGGTAATCAGGAAGTGTGTGTTAGCATGCTAGTTGTTATCATCCATGCTCTGAAAGTCGTTCTAAGCTCATTGTGGTGAACAATTACGATGCTCTGAACACGTAAGGTGAGCGAGGAAGAGCTTTGGACCTCACTTCCAACTTTCTTGTTTTTGAAGACGGTAAAAATGAGGTAGAGTGCCTTTAATAAAAGTTTCCCCTCCCTGTGGCTCACATGCCCTCCCGTTGGCGCAGAGGAGATTTAAACCCACCTTGCGTGCCAGCTGCAGATCCTCAATCAGGTCGTGCTCGCCGCGTGAGAGCTCGAATATGGCCTGAGGAGGAGAAGGGAGGAGAGCAGCCATTTTAGGAACCAGCCATGAATCAACAGCAACTTTTAAAGAGCAGCCAAAACAAAACAGATGAGTTAGCTTGTCTTAATCGCGTGTTGGCTAAAATGCAGAGTACACAAGAGGGATGGTAAGATAGCCAAGATATTTTTTTAAATCAAGACTTTTAATGGTTTTATTATTAGTCTGTCTACATATCCAAAGTTCAAAACGCTAGAGATTGGGAGTTTTGTGGACTGAATTATCCAAATGATTCTAGTGAAGGTTTACAGAGTTAAGGTTTGTGTGTTAAAAATGTGTGAATGAAACAAAACAACTATATTTTTCACATAAATCAGAAAATAGCCTGATATATCCTGGTTTTGCGTCTCACCTCCTGCCTCTTGATCTCCTTGGCGGACAGCGTTCCTTTCTGGTGCAGGTCCAGGTTTTCGGACCAGAGGATGCTGTTCCGGCGTTTGGGGGGGGTGGGGGCGGAGGCCTTGGAGCAGGGTTTTTGGGGCGCGACCGGCGTTTTCCCATCGCCCCGAAAAGAGGCCTGAAGAGTAGACCAAAGACAGAAAGACAGAGGTCAGGTTTAGATCATTTTTAAGATTGGTTGCCCTTGCACGCATTTATCCAGGCTTGGGAAGTACACCGACTTGTAAACTCAATGTATCAGCAGTAGCAGTAGTAGTATCAGTAGTAGCAGTCGTAGTAGCAGCAGCAGCAGTAGTAGCAGTAGTAAATAACAGTAGTATTCTCACCTGGATGGTTTGGCCGAATCGCCGGACGGCCCCATTCTTGGGAGAGATGAGGTTGGCGAGCGACGTCACCCTGCCGACCGGTCGGACGCGCTTGTTACTGGGTTCCTACAGCAACACAGAGAGGATAGAGTTAGACCAACTGCTCTCGTTAAAGCCACATTCTGGTTTGTTTTGTACACATCGAAGGAGATGATTCTTAAAACCATTTTGTTGCATTTCGTACAATTTGAGTCACCGAATATGAATCTATATGTCGAGTGAAAACCAAAAACTAGACCATATCAAACCAGGACTAAACCAGGACTAAACCAGGTCCAAACCAGGTCCAAACCAGGTCCAAACCAGGTCCAAACCAGGTCCAAACCAGGTCCAAACCAGGTCAAGATTGGTTCAACACTGGGTCAAAACCAGGACTAAACCAGGACTAAACAGAAATAAAACAACAAACAAAAACATGGCCAACCACCAGCCTTTTGAAAACACAAATGCTCATATTATATTACACTTAAACCTCAAAATATTTTATGAACTACGTTTACTTAATTGAAAACCAGCACAAATAATCCCAGTTGTCTGTCAGTGTAACACGAGGATTTAAAGAAGGACCAGGAGACAGAGAGACGGCCGGCCCCACACATGGACCAACAGCTGCCGGATCCGTACCGGGTCTTAAACCAGGTCCGGACTCCGGCTTGCTCCTGGTCTTTTGGTGGGTCTTCAGGGGAGGGGAGATGGGATTGGAGGAATGCCAGGAATGCCTATGACCTCCTCTCAGCTGTTCCATGCACTCCCCCCCAACCCCCTCCCCTAACGCTAACACGAGTGACCGGACAGGCGCGGCGACGGCTACCAAAAGCTAGCGCCCAATTTGTCACATGGTTTTTAACACCTTTGGGGACTTAGCCTCGGAGCAAATGCGAGCTATTAAAAGTGGCATATGTTTGCGACAAGAAAAACACGCCACAAATTGTCACTTGGAATCCGGATTACGCAGAGATTTCTACTGATTTTGAGAATTTAAGAAGAATTTTAGAGTCTGAAACAACTGTAATACATGCTGACATAGTGTTGATGATTGTTGAAGTTCATTTATAGTTTCATAGTTATTAAAAACACTCTTTCTTTAGCCAAATTATGGTGATTTCAACATTAAATAGTAGTACTTTCTTGATTTTAAACACATTCAGGAAAGGTTCTGCTCTGTTCTGTCAATGGAACTTATTAGTATCGAAACCTGCGAAAATAAGGATCTATTTTGGATACCGGCTTCAGTATCAATTAGTGTCTGATTCTCGATACTCTTGACGACCCTGCGATGGCTCTAGTGTTCTCTAATAATGCAGTAATAGTACCTTTTACCCCGGGCCTCCTGTGTGTTTACCTTTCGTGGGGCATTAGAGGCAGAGCGGAGCTTTTATGACCGTGACTAGTCGGGGCAGGTTGTTCTTTGAGCTTTGAGCCTTCGCGTGAGAATGGACTGCACCTGGGTTTCTCCCTTCCCCCACCACCACCGCCGCCTCCCTCTCTCCTTCTCTCCCTCTCTTTTTCTCTCTCTCTCTTCTACGAGCTCCCGTCTTCAGCCTCGAGCTTTTTTCAGAAATGAGAGAAGGGTCTGGCAGTGGCCCAACAACAACGAAAATCAGAGGTAATGATTTCCACTGCTGGGAAAAAAGCCGAAGATTTTAAAGTTAATTTACCAGACATAACTCTCCGCAAATGCACACTAAAACCTCACTAACATGTTAAAGTTACACTGTGGAACTTTTATTTGTGTTTTCTTTTAATTCAAAAACCAAATTCTTGTCTCAAAATTATCCCGGTAAAGTTTCAAAGTGTGGTATTAAAAGTATCTTGCATTCATTTCGTTGCAGTTTTTTCTAGCCAAAACTTTCGGATTGTGATTGGGAGCAGGCTCGCCCCTCCACAGATCTGACCTGTAACTTGGCCCCGGACCAGGAAAGCTACACAGAATTTTAAAGAGCTCGTATTACGTTATTTCCAAGGTCTCTGTTATAATGTTTGCTCATCACAAACAGACCTGGAGTTGTGTTTTTCGTTTCATTCACACATGTTTAAACACACAAATCCTTCTTCTCTCAAACTGAAAACACTCAGTTCCACTTTGTGATGTCATGCAGGAAGTACAGGAAGTGCGATGTAGACAGACTAAAATAAAAGAATAAAAAGTTACTCAAACGTGTGAATGAAACAAAACAAAACACAACTCCAGGTCTGTTTTTGAGGAGGGAACAACTTTAGAACTCGTCTTAAAGCTCACAAGAGTCATTTTTGCGCGATATATGAACTTTAAAAAGTAAATCTTGCCAAAAAAAACATTCATAGTGCCATTTGAAAGTGGCAGTTGCAGCTTTGAAGTTGACATGTGGCAGTGATTTGAACACAGCTCCACTTCTGGGCTCAGGGTTATTGCTTTGCTCGGTGAAAACCAGGGCCAAACCAGACCACAAACCTACATTTCCTCTTGACCCAGACCAAAGACGGGTTTCACTTTTTTTTTTTTCCCCCCTCTGCTTTTTTGCGACGCTTCAGCAAAATTCAGCGAACAGAGCCACAGCTGTTTTACACATCAGCAAACGCCCGGCTCAGACTGACACTGCGAAAAAGTGAAAAGTGCAGCTCCAGCAACGTTTCAGTGACTCAAATGAAGAACAGTTTGTGTTTTTAGACTTAACTTCACTCAAGATCAATCATCTACCAACACAACCAACCTCTCTGTACTTCAACTCACAAAATAAAAGTACTAGTAGTAGTAATAGTAGTAGTTGTAGTAATAGCAGAAGTAGAAGTAGTACTAGTTGTAGTAGTAGTAGTAGTAGTAGTAGTAGACACAGTAGAAGTAGTAGTGGACACAGTAGAAGTAGAAGAAGTTGTTGTTGTAGTAGTAGTAGTTGTACCAGTAGTAGTAGAAGTAGTGGAAGCAGTAGTAGTTGTAGTTATAGTAGTTGTACCAGTAGTTGTAGAAGTAGAAGTAGCAGCACTAGCAGTAGTAGCAGTAGTAGTAGTAGTAGTAGTAGCAGTACTAGCAGTAGTAGTAGTAGTAGTAGGAGTTGTAGTAGAAGTTGCAGAAGTAGTTGTAGTAGGAGTAGTAGCAGTAGCAGTAGTATTAGTAGTAGAAGTAGCAGTAGAAGTAGCAGAAGTAGTTGTAGTAGTAGTAGAAGTAGTACTAGCAAGATTTTTAAGTTACTTTAATGAAGATGATTTGAGTAGATTTAACTTGAAAACATGAAGTAGAATGTTGTTTTTAGTTTTAGTCATTTGAAGTTTTTGCAGTGCACAGGCAGAAAACAGATGTGAGTGAGCCCTCTGGTGGCGGACAGAGGAACAGCACAGACATTCCTCCACACTCCAAACACAGTACACCTGAATTCACAGCTGGAGCTTCCAAAAGCAATACTGGAAAAGTGTGAGAGGCCGTTCCATTGTTCAAAGAAAGACAAAAGAGAGAGAGAGAGAGAGAGACGGAGAGAAAGAGAAACCATCAACAAAAGTTTTAGCTCAAGTTTCAGTCCAAACGCATGTCTGGACTTCAGCCGTTCTCAGGCTGCACTGGGTCAAAAAGTCAAACCTGGCAACTCGCTTCACTGCAACTTTTAGAAAACTTCTCAATTTATTCGGATCGCTTCTTCTTTTTGCAGATTTTTTTACTGTCACTCAAAGTCACATTTCGGAAACGCACTTCCTAAAAAGCCACAAAATACGGAACGGTGAAGTTTGGCAAAAGTACAGCTAAATGAAAGTTGAACTGAATCTTTGCTGCGTTGAGTTTCATGAACGAAAACTCGAATCTTAACGCTTTGTTGACCCGGCTGCTGCTCCCTGCTGCTTCACCTCGCAGGGAGTCCAGACTCTAGCTTTGCATAATTAAAAGACAGGAAACCGGGAATACGCGAAACTGTCGGAAGAGTTCATTCTCAGATGAACTTGTAGAAACTTAAAAAAAAAAAAAAAACTGAATGCAGCAATCTCACTATCTTAAAGTCCAAAAGGTTCCCTGATAACGCCGAGGTTTGATTGCTTCAGTGGAACTCGGTGACTCCATGTGGTTAAACATTGACACAAACTCGATACGTGACGAGAGAAATGGCGAAATCGCTCCAGAAATAAGCAGATAAATCAAAACTTTAAAGGTTTAATATTGCAATTTTTCTCGTTGGGGGTGTGATGTTCCACAGTGTGACTTTAAACAGCTCTACTTTGCATTTATACAGTTACAAGTGGTTTTAGAACATTGAAACGAACCGCAGATCTGACCTGTAACTCTGTCTGTTTTGGGCTCCTTGCAGGTAAAAAAGGTTTAATGCCGTACTGTGGAACATTCCGGACAATGCAATAACATCTCCACAGCAAGAAAAGCTACGCGGTGCAGCTTTAAACCCGTTGTTCTCACCTCGAGTTCTTTGCTGGCTTGGTTCTGGCTGTCAATCACTTGCAAAGTCCTTTTAATTGGCACCAAAGTTCCAAGCTCATCGTAAGACACCATCGCTTTGGGAATGATATCCGGAAAATCACCTTTATCCCAAATAGAATCCACCGTGCTGCAAAAATGTGGAACCAAAAGAGTAAAAATCGAAAAGATAAATGAGTAAAGTGGAGGCGAGCGGGCCCCGCGGTGACAGGGGCGCACCTGACGCTGCGGCTGCGGGGAGTGTGAGTGTGTGAGTCTGCAGAAGCACCGCGCCGGGACGCATTTATAGAGACGCAAAAAAAAAAAAAAAAAAGGAGGGAGCAGACGGAGGAGAGGAGGAGCCAGACAGACCCGAAACGGCCCACGTGGAGGGAGAGGAGGGAAATACAGACAGAGAAGGAGGGAGGAAAACAGAGAGAGGGAAGGAAGGAGGGAGGGAGGAAGAGGGGAAGGAGAGGGAGAAGAGATAGAAAACTATATATATAAAGAGAAGGAAGAGGGGAGAAAAAAAAAGAGAGAGAGGAAGGGAGAAAGAAAAGGGGGAGAGGAGGGGAGGAAGAAGAGAAAAACAGGGGGAAGGAGGGGGGAAACAGAGAGGGAAGGAAGGAGGGAGGGAGAAAGAGGGGAAGGAGAGGAAGAAGAGAGGAAAGAGATAAAAATCTATATACATAAAGAGAAGGAAGAGGGGAGAAAGAAAAAAGAGAAAGGGAGGGAGAAAGAGAAGGGGTAGAGAGGGGGAGGAAGGACAGAGAAAAAACAAGAGGAGAGGGAGGAGGGAGAGGAGGGAAAGAGGAGAGAGATAGGGGGGAGGAGGGAGGGAAAGAAAATATAGACAGAGAAAGAGGGAGGAAAACAGAGAGGGAAGGAGGGAGGGAGGAAGAGGGAAAGGAGAGGAAAGAGATAGAAATCTATGTGTGTATATATATATATATATATATATATATATATATATATATATATATATATATATATATATAATATAAAGAGAAGGAAGAGGAGAGAAAGAAAAAAATAAAAAGGGGGGAGGGAGGAAAACAGAAGGAAGGAGAAAGAACGGGGAGAGGAGAGAGGGAGAAAGACTGAGGAAAGGAGAGAGGGGAGAGGGGGGAGGAGGGAAAGAGGAGAGGGAGGAAAACAGAAGGAAGGGTGAGAGAGGGAAGAAGAGAGAAAGGGTAGAGAGGGGGAGGAAGGAGGGAAAGAAAATATAGACAGAGAAAGAGGGAGGAAAACAGAAGGAAGGAGGGAGGGAGAGGAAGAAGAGAGTAAAGATAGGAAAGAGGAGAGAAAGAAAAAATAAAGAGTGGGGAGGGATGAAAACAAGGAAGGAGAAAAAGAAAAAGGGGGAGAGGAGGGCAGGAAGAAGAGAGAAAACCAGGGAATGAGAGAGAAAGGGTAGAGAGGGGGAGGAAAGAGAGAAAAACAGGAGGGGGAGAGGAGACAGAGGAGAGAGAGAGAGAGAAATATAGACAGAAAGAGGGAGGAAAACAGAGAGGGAGGGAGGCAGAAAGAGGGAAAGGAGAGGAAGAAGAGAGGGAAGAGATAGAAATCTATATAAAGAGAGGGAAGAGGAGAGAAAGAAAAAAGAGGGGAGGGAGGAAGAAAGGAGAAAGAGAAAAGGGGGAGAGATGGGGAGGAAGAAGAGAGAAAAACAGGGGGAAGGAGAGAGAGAAAGGGTAGAGAGGGAGGAGGGAGAGAAAAAGTAGAGTGAGGAAGGGAGATGGAGGAAAACAGTAAGAAGGGGGGAGGAGAAACAGGAAAGGAGAGAGAGAAAGGGTAGAGAGAAAAGAAAAACAGGAGGGGAGAAAGAAAGAAAAGAGGGGGAGGAGGGAGAGACACAGGGAAAAAGAGGCAGCAAAAAAGGGAAGTAGAGAGAAATCGAGGGATGGAGTAGAAAGAAGAGAAGGAGGGAGAGAGACAAAGGGGGTGAGGGAGGAGAGGGATCGAGAGAAGGAGGGAGGGAACGAATAGGAAAAAGAAAGGGGAGAAAATAGGGAGAGGGAGGGAGGGTGAAGCAGGTGAAGAGAGGCAGAGTGAAGGATGGAGAGAAAAGAGGGGCAGAGAGAGAGGAGAGGGAAGAGAGACAGGTGTAGAGGGACAGAGCGAGAGAAAGAGGAGGGGAAGACAGAGAAAAAAGAAGTAGAGAGTGGGGGAGGGGGGGGGGGGTGAGAGAAAAGGAAGATCCAGAGAGAGGGAGAGAAAAAAGAAAACACACACAGAAAGAAAGTAGAGAGTGAGGGAGGAAAAGAGGAAAGGGAAGAGTAAAAGTTGTAGAGGGAGAGAGAAAGGAAAGACACACATGCACAGAAAGAGAGAGAAAGAAAGGGGGAGGAAAAGGGAGAGAAGAGGGAGGAGTAAAGGTTGTAGAGGGAGAGAGAAAGGGAAGACACAGAGAGAGAGAGAGAGAGAAAAAGAGAGAGGGAGGGGGGAGGAAAAGAGAAGACACACAGAGAGAGAGAGAGAGAGTAAGGAGAAAAAAAAAGAGATCAAGACAGTATAGAGACATGATGCGTCACGTCTGTGCAGTCACTTTCACGAGAATCTGTTTACATGTTCTGTCTGGGAGCTCCGGCCGCTCTGATTGGCTGATGACACTGATGACATCACAGACTCACACACCAGAGCAGACGCTCGCTCGCTCTCTCTCTCTCTCCACAATCACATGGGAATACAGTCCAACTTTTTATTTATTTTAAGATTAATATTCAAGGGAAACACACAAGGAAACGATTTAAAGACGCAGAAAAATAAAGAGGAATGTAAGTGCACACGCTGTGCTCTGCTCAGAAAATGACCGTCATTTAAGGACAAAATGCGTAATTAAATACAAATAATAATTCTTCTCTCTGTTCTGTAGAAATGTGCTGGTTTTTAAGTAAAATGCATCAAAAGTCACATTTGATTCACATTTTTCCTTGCCAAGTTAAAGGTGCATTGTGTAACTCCATGCACATGTTATTTGTTCATCTGGAAAGTTTCACACTATGGCATTAATTAAACCTTTCTGTCTTCATGGAGACCAAACCAGAGCAAGTTACAGGTCAGATCTGTGGAGAGGTGACCCCGCTCATAGTTGTTTTTTTTTTTGATGCATTTTTAAGCTGTAAAACCACCTGTAATAAAATAAAAGTAAAGTCGAGCTGTTTAATGTCACACTGTGGAACATTCCAGACAGAGTGATGACGTATCCATAGAGACAAGCAGGTGAGGGATCCCCAAACTAAGAGTGGGCGATATCTCGATATTTGAAATATATCTCAATATTTTTTAAACTCGATTTGGATTCTGACATATTGTATACACTAGGGATGGGCATTCGATGAAATTTTCTTAATCCATCGTCTGAAGAATTAACGATCAATTATCGATTAATCATTAACATTTTTATATTAAAATGATCATCATTATTATTACTATCTGCACTACTAATCTGCATAAATAAATTCAACTTTACGACATATAAACCGTAACCACTCTAGAGCCACATCAGCTGTTTGACATTAGAATGTGTTTAATTCAGTTTTGTTCAAATCTCACAGAAACAAAACTTAAAACTGCATCACTAATTTGCATAAACTAAGTGAAGATAAAACTCCAGCTCTTGTGTCGCTGATGTGGTTCAACTTCTGTTGGATTAAAAGACATGACTCAGGTGAATACAGGTTAGTGTGACCAGATTTGTGTTTGTCAAAACCAGGACAGCGTACGGGGGGAGGGGGGCGGGGCCTCGTCATCCACATTGAGCGACTCTCACCTGGTAAAACTTTTTCCCACTGGACACAGAGACATATGTGCTGCTTTTACACTGTTTGGTCACGACACACACAGCAACCTACATTCGGTTTGTCGATTAAAATTAAAGTAATCGATGAAATTCTTAATAATCAATTATCGATTAATCGACTAATCATGCCCATCCCTAGTATATATGGATATAATACTTCTATTCAATTCTGATTTTGCCGCGTCGTTTGTTTGTCTTCTCTGTGCGTCTCCGCCTCCCTGATTTTGCTGCTTGTGTCTCATTCACTCGTCACTATCGCCGTGAACGCCCAAAGTTGGTGCCAGTGAAAAGCTTCAAGCAGCACAAAACTTTTCCACCATTTACAGACAAAATCACCAGCAGCACATCCTCTGTCACAGAGAGAACACTCATATGAACACTGAGTCTGTCCTTTAGTCCGACAGAAGCTGAACCACATCAGCGACACAAGGAAAGAACTGTTTATGCAAATGAGACATGTGGTTTTAATTTTTGTTTCTGTAAAACATAAACACATGTGACAAAACTGAATTAAACACATGATAATGTCAAACAGGCTGATGTAGCTCTAAGGTCGTTATGTTTATATGTTGTAAAGTTTAGTAATGTAAAGTTTATTTATGGGTCCGGTCAAGCAGTAACGGAGGGAAACGGTCAGATTTTTGACATTCAAATGTCTCTTATTCAGAAACTAGAGGGACTATTGAAATAAGTAAAGTATCAGAATGTAGGAAAGAGTTACACTCCAACAGGGTCAAGTTAAACCTGTGATATTCTTTCAAGTTGTTGACAAAAAATAAAAAAAAACTCATGTTGGTAACGGAGGGAATGAAATATGCAGCACTTTTTGGACAATAAATCCAAACAGTGATAACTCTTGGTTCTCACTTCCATATCCTTAACAAACTGGTTTGAATATTTGCTTCATATAGTTTTCTACCATATGGTACAAGATTAGGTTGAAAAACCTCTTACTTTTTGACTCATTAGATTTTTTATTAAGAAAGGTCATGGTAACGGAGGGAAAAGTAACAGAGGGAAAATTGTACAAACAAGTAGAAGGTGCAGGATTTTACATCATTTGTCAACTTTTTTCTTCCGAATACTTTAATATTACTTCAAAATGAAAGGAAACTATTTCTATAAAATATGTCAGTCCTTCCAAGCTAATTTTTATCATTTTAAATACTTTTTTTTTGAAAAATCATGTACCTTCATCAACAGTTCAAAGATGGAATAACACAAGATATGATGAAATACATCCATTTATTGACATGATTTGCAGGTCTTTGAAATTTGGGAAATAATTTTTGTTCCATGTTTCATACATGGTCTGTTTAAAACATATGGAACTTTAGAACCAAAAATGG